CTCTTTTGTTTCCTAGCATAGCACCTGATACATAGTACACATTCAATAAATGGAGCGTTTGGTTGCTTATGTTAATGAAGAAGGCTGAGATCTTGTCTCACAATCCCATTCCATGCCTTGCTGCGATAGGTCCTCAGCAATGTCTGTTGATTCAGTTGACTGTTGGCTTAAACAAAGCAGTAAATTTTCACGGACACTTGAGTTTCGCCTCCACCGCCGTTGCAAAGGAACTACAGAAAATCGTTTGACTTCCGCTCTTAGGAGCCATAACTCATAGGTTCTACCTCTAACATAAAACCTCACCTCTCAGAAATGTTTCTCAATGGGATTAAGGCGGTGAGCAGTTTGATGAAAAGGCAGACTAAAGTAAATGTTTTATCATCTCTCTTTAGAAATGATGACCTTTGTGATTCAAATAAGAGGCAGTGAAAGCAAAGTTGTGCTCTTCCCCCTCTGATATTGTGGCTGCCGAATGCATGCTGGGGGAGGGAAGGAGACAGTGTGATGAGTCCCCTAGGAAGCCCCAGATCCTTACTGATTTGTTCTCAGGTGGACACCTGCAAAAGAACAACTTCTGCACTGATTCTTTGAACATCATTAATGAGCACACACCGTGGGTACCTTGCTTAAAATGATGGGAGTTTTGGTTGATGTGGGTGCTGCATGCAAATGGATTGTGCATTTGTATGGACAAAAGGAGATCCAGGAGGAAAAGATGTTTATTTCCAGGAATTTGAAGGGCTCTTATACAGAAGAGACTTCAGACTTATTTAGTATTATAGTGAGCTGTCGCTGAAGCAGAACTAGACCAGTGGTCTTCATACCAATTAGCCATCCAGGTCTACAATGAAACCGTCTCTCAAGGCATTCCACCAGTGCGTGTGTGGGCCCTTGCTTGCCTTTCCCGGAACCTCTGTAAGTCCCTCCATGCTCTCTTTCTTCTGTTGCTTCTTCCAAGGTCACACACAATTACAGTGCAGTTGGTTGGTACTCAAATCACAGGTATGTCTCTTCTGAAACATCCCAGAGGGGCACCCATATAGCAAACTCATTGATTTTATGCATGGGTTGATAAATTTATTTACCACTGCTCAACAAATATTTATAGTTCCTACCTACCTCATGTGAGTCTAACACCATCCTCAGGCCTTGCGCAGAAGAGCACATCTCTGCCCTTCAGATAACATGCTCCCCAGAAAATTCCTGGCATCTCCCACCCCCACGCTTGACGGGAAGCTGCTTCACAGTGACAAAGACTGCCCATTTGGCAAATGATTGCTTCTCTAATGTCTAGCACAGTGCCTGGCATACATACTAGTAGTGACACAACATTGTTGAATGATGATAGATAGGTAAACAAATTAATGTATGCAAAAAGACAACAAGTTTTCTGTCAGTTGAATTTTGCAGAGGTTGAATACCCATCTAATAGAGATCTTTAAGTAAAGGTGTTCCTTTGGGCATATACACACCATACCACACCACATTGTAATTGCTGATTTACTGAGCTCACTTCCCCATTTGACTGTGAGCCCCTTGAGAATGGGAACAGAGTTCTATTTGTTTTTGAAATTCTGCACAAAAAGCATACAGTCAATGTTTAGAAAGTGTACAAAAAGTCTATTTTCTGAGAATGGACTCTTTATAGAACAAGCATACTGGAGCACTGAAGGAAAAAAATGGCAATAATATAATTCACTTGCTTTGCCAGGCTGCTAAGAATACCTTGGTAAATATTAGCTAATGCACAGCCCTTTGCTTGCTATTAAGATTTACTGATTTCAATAGAAAGTAACCTAAAAACTGTACATGTTATACAACCCAGACACCAGGGCCAATCTCTAGCCACCCAATAGTAAAAAAAAAAAAAAAATACATATTGGTTCTGTTTGCGGTTAGATTAAATGCCATTGTCTAAGCAAAGTAAGCTATGTGCTGAGTAAGATGGGTCTGCCATGTGAATGATGAGTTTGGTCAAGGGATGGGTTTATCCTGTATTCTTACATTCTTCAGGTACAATTTTTCTCACTCTGAATAAATAAATCAACAGTGTTGGCTAACCCAGTACATGTAAAAAGTACCTTCAGTAAATGCCAGATTTTATGAAATAAGTCCAACAATAAAGGCTGGTTTTAAGTCTCAGTTTCTTACATAACAGGGACTATTGTATAGAGAGATTAATATGGTGTCTTGTTTCTTCCTGGTGTATCTTACTTTCATCTTACAAATATGTACTGATCTAAGTCTATATATTGATGCGTATCTTTGTGAACACTTGGAAATCTCAGTATCTCAGTGTGTTTCAGAGAATAGGCTGAGAGATTGATGATAACTAATTCTTTCTGGTGAAAAGCTAATAGGCATGACCTATGAGAAACAGCAAGAGAGCTATATGGAGCGTGGCAAAGGAGAAGAGGAAAATGCTGGAACTCAATCCATGCCTGCTGCCCAGAGACCTTAGCTGGGGGTTTGTCATGTCTTAGCATGACGGTATTCAAGCCATGTGAGGTTTGAAAAAAAAAATACATACCCAGCTTGGAGCTTAGTCTGAGAACAACCAATTGCCTTGGTTGAAACCACACAACTCCACTATCAAATTAAGTGTTTTTCAAGCTAATACAAATTAGCATCAGTCCACTGACCAAAGCCTGAAATAAATTAGGCTGAGTCCAAAAGAAATCAGCCTAGATACAGAAAGCAACTCCCAAGTCCACTTCCTTCCTTTTCCCAGGCATGGATGCTCCAGTTTGGAATATGCTTAGGATGTTGGTAAGTGCAGATGGTCTGGGGAAAGCATTATAAGCTGACTATTTTTGTTTTAGCTCTTTGCAAAGCCAGAAAGATATTTTATTAGTAATGCAGGCATGGAAACCCAAGCTGATCCAAGAGATAAATCAGAGGATGCTTATTTACTTTATGGAAATATTCTTTATCTTCAAAAATGAAATGAACTTGAGACTGGAAGAGAAGAGTCATAAGAAAGAAAAACTCAGAGGTTGTGTTTTCGGAGCAATCTCTGGAAATGCAATGTGTGAGGAAGAGAATGTGCATTCACTTGATAAATGTTGGCCTGAGAATTTATTGTTTTAGGTGACATCCGCTCTATGAAGAGCTTTTAAAACAGTGTGAGGTTCCATGGACCCAGGAAAGGGAGAAAGTCCCCAGTGAATGTAAACGAGGTTAAAGTATGTGTGTGCAGAGAAAGGAGAGAAACTGGGGAGGGGTCAGACTCTTCTTCTTCAGTGTGCCTCACCTGGAACCAACCTTAAGAGCCTTTGGGGACTTGAGGTCGGTGAGGGTTGGGTGAGATGTGGGCAGGGCCCGCTGAGTGTGTGTACTGCTATCTGCTCTCCTGGTAGCATTTTCTTTTTTTATATCTTTAGAGCTTGTCCTCAAAATTTCAAATCACCACAGCTGTGGTTTTTCTCCTCACTACTTCTACCTGGTTTTGGCTTCTTGTATTTTCACCTGGTTTAAGGCTGTGAGCAAAACACAGTGGGGTAGGACTTTTGTTTAAAATTTATCACTAAGTTGGTTTCGCTTCCTGGTTTGTGTGAATAAACACATTTTTGAAGGGGGATTTTGAAATCTATTTTAGAAACATATTTGCATTTAATTAAAAATACCACGAAGACATTGCTAACCATGGTGGGCACACCTTGGGGTGGGGGAGGGCACATCTAGGGGAGGAGGTAGTCTAGTGTTGATGACCATGGGTTTCATCATTGTTGGCTGTTTAGGGGAAAATCCCTTCACTTTTTTTTTTTTTTTGATGTAAACTGGAAGTCGCAATAATATCATCAAGAAACCACTGATCAGATAGTATTTTGAAAGGCTTAACTCATTCACTGAATTATTCCATTTATGTTTATTAAATAACTAGTAAGTGCCCATAGACTGTACTAGCAGCTGGGATAGAGGAGTGAATAAAGCATGCTTCTAGTTTTATGGAGTAGGATTTAAATCAGAGTTCTCCAGTCCTTCAGCTTAGGAGCAGGGAAGGAAGTATGAGATATTGATGGTGAACGTCATACCATTCCTTTTAGGAATCTTGGCATACCATGAGAGATGGGAAACAGGCGTATAGCTCTACTGAGAAAACTTCTTAAATCATGTGATAGGACTTGACCAAAACATTTTGAGGAGCTCTGTTCTAAATAGTCTCAAGCATTAAAGAAAAAAAGAAAAAAGGAAGTTGACCAATATTTGTCTTAAAATGTTTCAGGCATATCTGACTTTAGAATATAAAAGGTAATAACTGAGAGGCAGTCTGGTAGAGGCTCCTCTGGACTGGAAGCAAGGAATCTTACGGGTTTTTTTTTTTTTTTTTTTTTTTATGTTTTCACTTGTCAACCTGCCATTGGTTAGTACATGGCTTTGTATATGTCCTTAAAATTTTCTGGATCTCAGTTCCTTCACTGGACAAATGAGAAAATGGAATTGGGTCAGGATTTCTTTTGACAGTGAGTAACAATAGCAGTATACAAGATGCTTTAGATAGTATACTGATGAGGCCTTTTTATTGTTATTTATTATTATGTATTACAAAAAATGTAAATAGTGTTTCCAGCTCCTGCTTTCACAGGGATTTTTGTTTAGCATAAGGCTAAATGTATTAAAGGAAAAGGAGTGTTGATTTAAAGAATGACATCAAATAAATCATAGTACAGGTCATAATTGGTTATCACAAACATTTTTAAGTTTGTGTGCCCCTGACTAAGGTCAGGAAACATTTGAATATATACACCTTTAAGTTCCCTTCACTTCAGTCTCTGTGTAATTACTTTTCTTTGTCATATTTAAGCACTATGGTCTTCAAGTGGAAGGTTTCTATTGAAAATAGTGTTGTGGTATCCAGAATAAAGTGTTAGCTTTCCTAACTTGATCAGTAATTGAGATTGCTTTAATGGTCTTTCATATATAGTTAGCTCTCTGTGTGAGTCTCCTAGTCCACTGTTGTTATAAACATAATTTTGTTTTGTTTGCTTTGTTTTGTTTTTGATGTGCTTCAGACCAGAGTATTGACAGAAAGAATGTTCAAACATCTTCGGAAATGGTTCGTCACTCACTTTTTTGGGCCTTCTCGGCAAAGAGCAAGGCTGGTCTCCAAAGATGGAAGGTGCAACATAGAGTTTGGCAACGTGGAGGCACACTCGAGGTTTATATTCTTTGTGGACATCTGGACGACTGTGCTTGACCTCAAATGGAGATATAAAATGACCATCTTCATTACAGCCTTCCTGGGGAGTTGGTTCCTCTTTGGTCTTCTGTGGTATGCAGTAGCCTACATTCACAAAGATCTCCCTGAGTTCCATCCTTCTGTCAACCACACCCCCTGTGTGGAGAACATTAATGGGTTGACCTCAGCCTTTCTGTTTTCTCTGGAGACACAAGTGACCATTGGATATGGATTCAGGTGTGTGACAGAACAATGTGGCACTGCCATTTTTCTCCTTATCTTCCAGTCTATACTCGGAGTCATCATCAATTCTTTCATGTGTGGTGCCATCTTAGCCAAGATCTCCAGACCCAAAAAACGTGCCAAGACCATTACATTCAGCAAGAACGCTGTGATCAGTAAGCGGGGTGGGAAGCTTTGTCTCCTTATCCGAGTGGCTAATCTTAGGAAGAGCCTCCTTATTGGGAGTCACATATATGGAAAGCTTCTGAGGACCACCATCACTCCTGAAGGAGAGACCATTATTTTGGACCAGATCAATATCAACTTTGTAGTTGATGCAGGGAATGAAAATTTATTCTTCATCTCCCCACTGACAATTTACCATGTCATTGATCAAAACAGCCCCTTCTTCCACATGGCAGCAGAAACCCTTCCTCAGCAAGACTTTGAATTAGTGGTGTTTTTAGATGGCACAGTGGAATCAACTAGTGCTACCTGCCAAGTCCGGACATCCTATGTCCCAGAAGAGGTGCTCTGGGGCTACCGCTTTGCTCCCATGGTATCCAAGACAAAGGAAGGGAAATACCGAGTGGATTTCCATAACTTTGGCAAGACAGTGGAAGTGGAGACCCCTCACTGTGCCATGTGCCTTTATAATGAGAAAGATACTAGAGCCAGGATGAAAAGAGGCTATGACAATCCCAACTTCGTCTTATCAGAAGTCAATGAAACAGATGACACCAAAATGTGACAGTGGCTTTTCAACAGGAGTAAAGCAAAGTCTTGAAGATACCGAATGAGTAGAAGTATTATGAAGCTCTCAAAAATTAGGGGTATGAAGTTAAGATAAGAGCCTTCAACGTCTACCAGCACCATGCCCCTGAACCCCATAGCCATGATCTTATAAGACACATAACTCTACAAGGCAACTGCATTAGACCATGCAATATTTTTCTAGAAAACTGCAATATGGAAGCCATAGGAATTCATCTGGAATCTTGAATATGGTTATTTGAAATCATGCAGTGTTGACAGAAATGGACAAAATCATCAAGTTCCACGGAGAGGCCAAACAAGATCTTAATGGTCTCTTTGAAGAAGTTAAGAACTTTAGATAGGATCAGGGAAAAACTATATTCTCATTCAGATTCTACTGATAAGAAATAAGCCACTTTTAACATTTTTGTCAAAGAAAAAAATGGTCTCTTGCGATGGAGGGGACGAACTAATCAAAGAAGGCAAGGAAAGACTGATACTCAAGGAACATCTGAGGCTCTGAGCTTCTCCAGCCCTGGTTGTTGGAGCTTTCATCTTAGTCTGGGTCATGCTGTGCTTTCTGAAGAGCAGAGGAAGGCTGTCTATGAACTCTGTATCTCTATGTATCTAATGTGGAGAGGAGCACTGAGCTCAATCTGCTTCCATCACATCCAGACACTGCAGCCCAAGTTTGGGCCCAAATGATCTCACGTGGTACATTTAGACAGAGGATAAATCACCACTCTAGAATCTCAATGAACACCTTATTGCAAGAAAGAATGCTTGATTTGAAAATGGTGATGATATTTCTTCCAATTTGTGTTAGGTGGGATAAAGGGCTACAAATCAATTAAAAGAGTATTTCCTGATCTTCCAAGAAGTGAGTGAAGAGTTAGAAGGAGGAGTGTCAGTGTAGAAAGAACAGTACTGTCAGTGCTTCTGGGGAAAAAAAGGATCTTGTGTTTTTATGCCTCAAGTTTGCACTGAAATGCTGTTTCTAAAGGAGAAGTGTGGGATGGGCTGTGACCCCACAGTGAGGAAAACATGAGATCTGCCTTTCTCTGAGGGCCAACACCATATATTCCTCAAAGGGAAAGATATAAGGATGGGTGTTTAGAGAAAGGTTTTACTGTGAATGTCTCTTTCAGTTCTCCATCTGCATTATATTCTGGAAGGAGTGGTACTCAAAGCTGCTAAGGAATCAAAATGTTCCCAGTGCGTTGATTAATCTATTAAATCTCTGAAACTGTGCATGTGCTTTCCGAAAGTGTCAGTTATGGTGCATTAATTGTAACAGACCAACAGGTGACAGCCCTCTTGCTGAGGGTAGACTTTCTCCTGGGAGATGTGGGAGGGGTGCGGGAAGATGGCAGATAGGACCATATGTTGTCTCGACGCCAGCTTACTCCAGGAGGAAATGACCTTGGCTACAGACATGCCTCTTCCTGTACTGTCCCATCAAATCACTCTAGCGTGTCTTGGCACATGAAGTGTCAGCTGTGGCAGTTTTCACCAAGGATGGTTCTGTTTTCCCAGGCCTGGGGATGAGTTTGTTCAGATTCACACACACGCTTTGGCCCTCCTGACCAAGACCAGTAAGAAGTCTAGGGTGTTAAAAGTTGTGTACTTTGTCAATGGCTGTAACCCCAGACATAACCAGCCTACATGGGAGATTACTCTGTGCTTGTAAATATGCTGGCACCGCAATTTGATCTATTGACAAAGGTAAAGGTAATGAGATATGACAGGCTTGAGGGGGCTAGAATTCTCTGCTGGCCCACCATCATGAGGTTTTATGACTCTGTAGTTCCTTCATAAACTGGGGGGTCAGAACACATTCCTTCCGATCTGTTCTTCTCCATTAGCAGCATGCTTGGGGATTGCCGGAAGTGAAACGATCTCATGCAATCTATTCCTTTTGATTGCTAAAGAGCTGAACACCTGGAATCTTTGTGATTGGTTTCCCTTTATGGGTTATTCGGAGGAATCTGTGCTTTCAAATATTCCTTTATTAGGATTAAGGCATTCTGCTATCTGGAGTCTCTTTCCATCTTTTAAAAGAAATGTTTGTTTATTTATTTATTATTTTTTTTAAACATTTTTTTTTTATTTATTATTTCTAGGAGAGAGAGAGAGAGACAGCGTGAGCAGGGGAGGGTCAGAGAGAGGGAGTCACAGACTGAAACAGGCTCCAGGCTCTGGGCTGGCAGTCAGCACAGAGCCCGACGCGGGGCTCAAACCCATGAACGTGAGATCATGACCTAAGCGAAAGTCGGACGCTTAACCGACTAAGCCACCCAGGCGCCCCAATGTTTATTTATTTTTAAAGAGAGAGAGAGAGAGCAGAGAAGGGGCAGAGAGGGAGGAAGACAGGGGATCCAAAGCGGGCTCTGTGCTGACAGCAGAGTGCCTGATGTAGGACTAGAACCTATGAAACATGAAATCATGACCGGAGCCAAAGTCAGACGCGTAACAGACTAAACCACCAAGGCACCCTTGGAGTCTCTTTCTTAATGCAAATTCCCCTTAAACCTCTAGCAATCACTAGTATACTTACATCCAGGAAAGCCCTGAGGCAATGAGGGCCTACAGGTACTTTTTAATAATCTTAAGAGGTGGCTGGAGCCCCAACACAGTGTAAAAACACTGGCTCAGTGAGTAAAGAAAATATATGGGAAATAGAAGGATCCAGAAGGCTGCTTATGGGTTAATGCCAGTGTGAAAGGCAGGCTTTTCATTCCAGTGAAATAACATTGTTCCCAGCAGGACCTGACCACATTAGTATTGCTCCTGTTACAGGTGTGCCACGTTATAGTTACTGGATTATCAAGCCATTCTAAAAGCAATCTGTCGCTTCTTATTGCTTTCAAGAAAAACTGCCATCAGTGATGCTGTACCGTATTCAAAGTTTCCCTTGGTACTCAGTCCCCTTGAAGTGCCTCATTTAGCTCTGTTGCTATGGGGGTTTTGTTTTGGAGAGTCTCAACTTGTTTTCCACCTTCCAGGACTCAGGTGGACTCAAGAGCCAACATTCAGAGTTAAGATTTTGGAGATGGTCTAAAAATTTATTCCGAGAGAGAGAAAGAGAAAGAGAGAAGAAGGAAAAGATCAGGCCTAAGCAGCCAAATCCAAGAAGTGAGATGATTAGAGGGTCTGCTTCCATAGCTCCTGGGGTGGGTGACAGGGCAGCAAAGAAATTTCCTGGTGGACAGCTGAGGAGGTGCCTTCCTTGGAGATTTTTCACAAAACGGGAGATGGGTCTTCAACAGGGTGGTTCAGTGAGTAGTATAGGGGATCTTTCTCTGTCCAGAATACACGTGAAAACCTCTGATACGGACGATGCAAATGAGTCCCTGACCCCGCCCCTGAGCCGTTGTTGTCTGCCATTACAGGAAGTGCATGTCAATCAAAGCTTGACAGGGGAGATACAGCATTTTATTTTGGAAGCCAGAAGTTTGAGAACAATGACTGGAATTTCCTCTTTCTGTCCAGCAAGGGCTGTTTGTCACTGGGGAGATAAAAGTCCAGGGGTAGGGAATAAAGGTTATCGGGAACAGCGCAACACAGAGCCGCGTGGGGGGGCGCCGCGGGAGGAGGGGTTATGGAGGAAATCTATTTCAATGCCTGTCATTGAGTTTCCATTAAAAGAACATTCAGTTAGGAATTCAAAAATAATTTAATCTCCCCAGCCAGATGCACCCAGCTGGACTCCTTGGAGCCGAGCCCTGCAGACGGGGAGATTTGTACCGGGGCTGCAAGGACTAGAGCCGCTTCACCAACCGATACATCCTTGGCTTCCCTGGCTGTTGTAGAAGACCCGTAGGTGTCTTTCAGGCTACTGAGAAACCCCCAAGACCTGGGCTACAGCAGAAGAAACTTACTGTAGGGTCTACTTCCTGAGTTCCTAGTATGTTTTAGGTTCTGTTTTAAGCATTTCATATACATTACCTTATTTAATTCCCCCAATGATTCTATGCGGTACTCTTTTTACATTTATTTTTCACTGGAGGCAGCTCAGGTAAGGAACGTATCCAGAGTTACTAGCTAGTAAATGGCAAGGCTGGCATTCAAACCTTGAGCTGTCTGACACGGACGCCTCTGAGAGGGCTCACCAGGGCCACAGGATATTTATGTTGAATCCAAGGATGGTTGACACATGTTCCTGGTCCTGTCTTATACTTTGAGAGAAACCGCTCATTGTTTAGCAGAGGGTAGAGCTCCCGGCTAATGCTTAATGAATACCTCTGGACTTACATATTCTAAGAAGAGGTAGTGTTTAAGGAGGGCCTCTGGATAATCTGCTAGGTCAGCATCTGGAAATATCCTGGGTACCCTGAAGATTTGCCTAGACTGTTGGTGCAAACTATCTTTCTATTATTTACATATATGCTAAATATGTATGTATACGTGTTCTTTTATTTCGATCTCTGAGGAGTCTTTCATCTGAGGCAGAGACAGATAGTATTTCCGTTTTTACCGATGGAGACACAGAGCCTCAGATATCCCTGGAGAACAGTGTCTATGTTCTCCACTCATCTCTGTGTTTCTGGCACCAACACAATGCCTCACATAGCCAATACATGGTTTTTGAATCAGCAGATGAATGAATGAATGCATGATTTCCTCAAGTCATATCTTGTTAGTAGTGGATTTGCAACGATCTCCATCCAAAGAACTTTTGACGAGCTACCTCATTCACTAGCAGATGGGCCTTGACAGATTACTTCACTTCATTTAGTCTCAGTTTTATGATGTGTAAAACTGAGCTTTGAAATAGGGCTAAGGGGAGAATTAAATGAAATCAAAGCTGTGAGAATCCCTTAATAAAACAGAAATGACTATTGACATGGCCAAACAAGGTGGGAGCGTGGGTTTGAAGCCAAGACGCTGCAAGGGAAAGGACAGGTCCCCAGAGCAGACCACTGCCTGGTGCTGCATGGGCATAGACACTAAAGGCCCGGGCAGGGCTGGGACAGACACCAGAGGAAGCCTCCA